GAGTAGCCAGTGTAGTAGAATGTGAGATATGCTGGACAGGCCTACTTTCCTTCAAGATATCTTTCCAATGCCCTCCCAGCCTCCACTGCTCCTGAAGTACCCCTAGATCTTTAGGCTCCTTGAGCTCTGTGGCCTCTTAACATGGAAATATTCCCAGGAGAAGAAACATTAAGCTGAATTACTGCATGTAATTATTCAGAAAATACTTATTAAGCACCATTTATTAAGCAAATGGGATGATAAAATAACAAATATTTATATTTGCTTAGCTGTCTAGATTTGCAGAGTCTTGCCACAATCTGGAGTACCTAAAGCTGAGATTATGATCTTCATTTTACAGATGATGAAACTGTGGCTCAGAGAGTCTGAGTGACTCACCCAAATGACATACCTGAGCCCCACCTTGATAACTAGGGCTCCAACTTGGTTCTTCTGATTTTCAGTTCTATGCTCTTTCCTCTCTATCACAGTAACTCAAGGGGTTTACAGGTAGGAACTCAAAACAAGCACACATAAAAACTTAAATAACAATTCAGGATAATAGTATAAGTGATATCAAAAGACAATAAAAGTGTCAAATGACTGATATAGATAATAATTACTGGAGGGATGACCAGGAAGGTCACTGTGGGTAAGAGTCAGCAGAGAAGACCTCCAAGAGGAAGTGGGACTTAAGCCTGGCCTTTGACACTGGGTAGGAAAAAGACAGTGGGAAAATAAAGGGAGGGCATTCTAGAGTATGGGAAAGGAAGAATAAAGGTGGAGAGGTGAGAAAGCGAAAGTCTTATTTGGAAAAAGAATGAGGAGATCAAAGTAGCTGGAGAAGAGAGATTTGTACTGGGGAGGAATGGAAAATAAAACTGAAAAAGTGCTCTTGAATTTCTTCTTTTTTTTTTTGGACACAGCACAAGCTTTGACTAAAAAATGGAGAAACGAGAACTAAGTTCACAGATCAACTTCTCATCCACCTGGCAAGAGGGATTTAATTTTAAAGAGTAAAGACAAAGGGAGCAGAAGTGAGACTAATGATGGGGAGGCATAGGCATTAGTGCTCTTGAATTTCTGACAAAAGGATTTCAACATGTCTTGTAGACAATGGGGAACCATGAAAGAGTTTTGAGTGAGAGAGTGAAACTGAAAGCAGTTTGGGGGCCAATTAATCTGGCAATATGCACTGTATGTATTGTGCTAGGAAAGACTGGCGGCAAGGAAGACCAGTTGGGAGGCAGTGACAGTCAGTCAGGGAGAAGGTGACAAGAGCCAGTATTAGAATGGTAGCACTGGGACCATAAAGGAAGGCCAATTATAATTGACATGATGAAGGAAGAAATGTCAGAATCTTGTGAAATAGGGAGGGCAAAGAGTCAAAGTTGCCTGAGTGTTTTCAAGCCTAGGTGACTTGAGAAAAGAAGATGCCATGAACACAAATGAGCACGACAGGTAGGGAAACTGGTTCAGGGAGTTTAGTTTTTGACATTTTGGGTTAGAAGTAACAATGGAAGATCCAGTGAAACTATCCAGTGGGCAACTGAAGACATAGAGGTGGAGCTTGGGAGAAAGGTCAGACAGAACTGAGTTGGCCTGGTGTAATGGAAGGAGCTCTGGAATTCAGGGGTCCTGGAGCCTCGTCTCTGCTCTGCCCCTAATTTACTAAGTCATGGGCAAGTCATATCTCTGGGCCTGTTTCCTCCTTTGTAAAGTGAGGGGGTGCCCCGGCCCTAGAAGATTTCTGAGATACTCTCAAGGACTATGAGTCAACTGAATTGTATTCACATGTATATATGTTCTCTCCAAGAGAAAAATCAAGGCTCAGATGAGGGGAGGGGATTAAATAATCCCCAAATGCTATGACCATGACAGATCTTGGAACTCTGTTTACTTAGGGAGTAAAAGAGAAAGAGAAGAAGTAATAAGAGAGAGTAAAGTAGGAAGAGAGAAACTTTAAAGCAAGGGGATAAAATAAACTAAAGTTAAAAGTATTACAATAAATGGAAGAAATAGTTATATCAAATATGACAAAGGGTTAACATGTACGTTAAATAAAAATACATTTAGATAGATAAGAATACCACTAAGATACCAATTGGAGAAGGATATGAACAGAGAGTTCACCCAAGAGAAAGTGCAAATAGTAAACATATGGGAAAGTGTTCAATCCCATGAGTAATCAAAGAAAGGAATTAATAAGTTAATGTTTAAGCCATCCAAAGAGATTTCTAATAAAGTCCAATGCTGGGGCTGCAAGGGAACTGGAACGCTCGCATGTCATTGTGGTGTTGAAAACTGTGCAGTCCTTTGGGAAATCAAGCTCTATAAAAACATTCATGCTCTTTGATCTAGTAATCTCACCCCTGGGAACTTTTCCTAGGAAGAGGATTACAAAGAAGAAAAAAGCTATATGCATTAAAATATTCAAAGCACAGAAAAATTGGGAGTCGCCTAAATGTCCAGTAATAGGGGAAGAGTCAAATAAAATATAATCTACTGATGGATGTAATTTTATGTGGCCATTGAAATGATAAATATGAAAGACTGTAACACAAGAAGAGTATCTGCAATTAAGATTTTTAAAAGAAGAATTAAAAAATATATGTATACTATGATTGCACTTATATAAACAAATATATATGTATTATACAAATTGGAAAAGCACAGAATGTGGAAAAATAAAAACAATTGTCTAGGGTTGGGAAGTTGAGGTAAATATTTTCTTTCAAATTTTGCTTTAATGTTGTCATAGTGGAATTTATTAATGTGGTTTTTATAAAAAGTTTTAAAGAAGATATGCAACAGGGTCAAGCGAAGCAGAGAAGTCAAAGAGGATGAAGGCAGAGAAAAGATCATTCAAGGTTTTGCTTATGAGGCAATTTGTGTTCTAGGTACAGAAAGGTGTAGGAAGGAAACCAGATCCAGAGAGTTAAGGGGTGACTTTGTGGTGAGGAAATGGGATTCATGGTACTCTTTCCAGATATTTGAGAGTGAAATGAATAAGATGAATAGAATTTGGTTTTTGTTTGTTTGTTTTAATTTATTTATTTTGGGGTTGTGTTGGGTCTTTGTTGCTGCACGCGTGCTTTCTCTAGTTGTGGCGAGTGCGGGCTACTCTTTCTTGTGGTGTGCCAGCTTCTCATTGCAGTGGCTTCTATTGTTGTGGAGCATGGGATCTAGGCACGCGGGCTTCAGTCGTCGTGGCTCTCGGGCTCTAGAGCCCGAGGCTCAGTCGTTGTGGTGCACGGGCTTAGATCCCGCAGCATGTGGGATCTTCCTGGACCAGGAGGGCTCAAACCCGTGTCCCCTGCATTGGTGGGCGGATTCTTAACCACTGCACCACCAGCGAAGTCCTAGAGTTTGTTTTTTAAGACTAGATGTAATCAGTTACAGAAGAGGCTGAAAATGAAGAGGGATACACAAAGGAAAAGGAAAGAGGGCCACTTCTTATTCTGGGACTGCAGGGAAGAAAGGGAGAAAGACAAAATGAATATAGTAGAGTTATCGTGAATGAAACAGAGGGAAGCTGACATATTAGATTTTCTCCGTTTTTCAGGAGGCAAGGTAACTCTTTTTTTTTTAACATCTTTATTGGAGTATAACTGCTTTACAATGGTGTGTTAGTTTCTGCTTTATAACAAAGTGAATCAGTTATACATATACATATGTTCCCACATCTCTTCCCTCTTGCGTCTCCCTCCCTCCTACCCTCCCTATCCCACTCCTCTAGGTGTCACAACGCACCGAGCTGATCTCCCTGTGTCATGCGGCTGCTTCCCACTAGCTATCTATTTTACGTTTGGTAGTGTATATATGTCCATGCCACTCTCTCACTTTGTCACAGCTTACCCTTCCCCCTCCCCATATGCTCAAGTCCATGCTTTAGTAGGTCTGTGTCTTTATTCCCGTCTTACCCCTAGGTTCTTCATGACCTTTTTTTTTTTCCCGTAGATTCCATATATATGTGTTAGCATATGGTATTTGCTTTTCTCTTTCTGACTTACTTCATTCTGTATGACAAACTCTAGGTCCATCCACCTCACTACAAATAACTCAATTTCGTTTCTTTTTATGGCTGAGTAATATTCCACTGTATATATGTGCCACATCTTCTTTATCCATTCATCTGATGATGGACACTTAGGTTGCTTCCAACTCCTGGCTATTGTAAATAGAGCTGCAATGAACATTTTGGTACATGACTCTTTTTGAATTATGGTTTTCTCAGGGTATATGCCCAGTAGTGGGATTGCTGGGTCGTATGGTAGTTCTATTTGATAGAAAGCCCAGAGATAAACCCACGCACATATGGTCACCTTATATTTGATAAAGGAGGCAAGAATATACAGTGGAGAAAAGACAGCCTCTTCAATAAGCGGTGCTGGGAAAACTGGACAGGTACATGTAAAAGTATGAGATTAGAACATTCCCTAACACCATACACAAAAATAAGCTCAAAATGGATTAAAGATCTAAATGTAAGGCCAGAAATTATCAAACTCTTAGAGGAAAACATAGGAAGAACACTCTATGACATAAATCACAGCAAGATCCTTTTTGACCCACCTCCTAGAGAAATGGAAATAAAAACAAAAATAAACAAATGGGACCTAATGAAACTTCAAAGCTTTTGCACAGCAAAGGAAACCATAAACAAGACCAAAAGACAACCCTCAGAATGGGAGAAAATATTTGCAAATGAAGCAACTGACAAAGGATTAATCTCCAAAATTTACAAGCAGCTCATGCAGCTCAATAACAAAAAAAACAAACAACCCAATCCAAAAATGGGCAGAAGACCTAAATAGACATTTCTCCAAAGAAGATATACAGATTGCCAACAAACACATGAAAGAATGCTCAACATCATTAATCATTAGAGAAATGCAAATCAAAACTACAATGAGATATCATCTCACACCAGTCAGAATGGCCATCATCAAAAAATCTAGAAACAATAAATCCTGGAGAGGGTGTGGAGAAAAGGGAACCCTCTTGCACTGCTGGTGGGAATGTAAATTGATACAGCCACTATGGAAAAGAGTATGGAGGTTCCTTAAAATACTACAAATAGGAGGCAAGGTAACTCTTAAGAGGTCATAGGGGAGGATGAAGTTGGGGTCTTGAGAAGGTAGAAAATACAGGAAAGAGTTGCTCTGGAATGTTCACTAGGAACTCAGCAGGCTAAGGGGAATGGGGGCTTAGATGAAGTTCTAACACATCAAGTTTCAGTGGGTCAAGCCAGCCTTGGGCTCTGACTTCACGTGCAATCCCCTCTAGTCCTAGGAGAGAGAAGACTGTCCCAAGGTGAAAGTCAAGGTGTTTAAAATTAGAGTGTGAAGGAAGGTGGCCCAAAAGTAGCAGACCACAAAGTCTGGGCAGTTAGTCTCAGTTAAGCATAGGGGACTTCAATGGACTGGAGAAATGGAAGAGCCTGGGTCAGCTGTGATGAAGAGAGCAACTTTGTTAGGTGGGGCTGGTGGATAGGAGAGGTGATAGGTGAGGAGACTGTGGTCATCAGAATAAAAGGGAGCGAGTGCCGATGAGGAACAGCATATGAAACAGTCTAGGCAGTGGCCATGAGACTGGGAGGCTAGTAAGAAGAAGGCCAGTTCATTAACTCCTAGCAGAAGGGGTCCTTGATGTCTAGAGAGGAAGAGGGAGCACTTACAAGAATGCAAAGGGGGACTCAGGGGCAGTGAAATCATTTTTTTTTTCTGCAGACCAGCCCTAACTTTACTCTCCAGAGAGACCCCTTAGAAGCCAGGAGACAAGCAAGGGATCAGAGCTAGGTCAGCAAGAGTGGGGCAAAAGGAAAGGAAGGCTGGGGACTCAAGAGACCAAAGGACTGCAAGGCAATTTTAGAGAGGGTGCCTGGAAGTGTAAGCCTACCCTTCTCACGAATGCCTTCCCAGAAACTCTTACTTCCCAAGGCTTGGGAGTTAGCTCCCCAAATTCCACACCCCACCCCCACTCCTGGAAGTCTGTAAGCACTAAGATAGTGCTGGAGAGGAGTGACTGGATGGGAAACTCTGAGGGGAGCTGTCCTAGTCCCAGCGCCTTGTCCTGTCCTCGAAGTCCTAAAACCTGATCTGAAAGAGCTGGTGAGAGATTTATCTTTATCTAGGGCAGGAGCTAGAGAAAGGGGAGAGACCAGTGGAGAGTCAGCTCTGGGCCTCAGTCCCTGTCACCACCCCAATCTCTGCACAAACCTTCTCCACCCTTTGGTGCTGGAACTTATGCCATAGACACGAGAGCTCCTCCCTTGCGTTCTGAGCCATCCACTCTGCCTTTCATTAAGTACAGGAGAGCTGTCAAATATGTTCTCAGCAAACCTCATAAAGAAGGGCCAGTCCCATTCCTGTTCCAAAGGCCATTATCAGCTTGGGTCCTGCCCCCTGAGGCTCCTCAAGGTCCTCACCCCATGGGAAGACTCAGGACTCCCTCTCTACCTCATGGCTACCCACCATTCAACAGGGCCATGCCTCTAGCTGCACATGGGGACCCTGTCAGGCAGGCTCTCTGGGACGGTGCCCTAGTTCAGCGCCTCAGTAGACAAGACTATCCTGTCTTCCAGGGGAAACCAGGGAGTGGGTGTGGGCACTACATATGTCACTTCCCAGGCATTTGTGATATGCTGGTGCCCCCACTTCCTGATTCTGGCTATCACTGTCAGATGAGTCAGGCCAATACTGAGATCACCCCAGCTTCTTCACCCCTCCAGTTAAATGCTCTGGTCTGGCTGAAGGAATGCATGCTATACAAGGATATGGGGGGAGAGGGCAGGAGAAGGAGGGCTGGGGAAGATTTCCAGCAGCCTTGTAGGACCAAGAAACAGGACCAGTGGCCCCAGGAAGGGGACAGAAACAAAGAGAAAGAAGTCGAGGACGAAGAGTGGCTGCTAGTGTCTTTGGCTAAAAAGGAGAGGGCAACTGAAGGATTTAGGAGAGATGGGGTCACACGTGATTTCTCTGGCTCCTCCTAAACCTCAGGGTGAGGGCCTCTCTCCAGAGCTCAGAAAAGAGGAGAAAGCAGCCAGATAGGGTGTCACTATAAGGTTCCCTCCCCTCTGCCCTGCACTCACCCCCTTTCCTTCACTTCCCGGCTTCCGTTACAATCTATCTGCCCAAGCCGCCATCCTGGGGGGTGGCTGTCCACCTGCAGCTGCTGTCCTCAGGCAGGGACACCAGTGCCAGAGAGGAGGCAGCTGTGGGGAGCCGGGGCCTGCCACCCCTGCAGAGCTGCCGGAGCTGACGTCAATACTTGTCCCCAGTGAGCAAATAGAGCACAGGATCCAGGCAGCTATTGGCACTGGCCAGAGGCCGAGTCACTTTATAGACCATGTTGATGAGGTTCAGCACCCAGCAGTCAGCTTTCAACAGCCTTGCATGTAATAAACGGTGCGGGTGATGTGGAAAGGCACGAAGCAGACAGCAAAGACAGTCAATACCACAGCGATGGTGCGCAGCGAGCACAGACGGGAAGATGACTGGGCAGCCCCTGGCAAGGGCCGTTACAGGCGCTGGGCCATGAGCCCATAGCAGACAAGAGTGACCAGGCAGGGCACGTCAAAGAGCAGCCCCATGACTGCCGAACTGAAGTGCACGTAGTGGTCAAACTCCTCAGGCCGGGTGGTGTCGTGGCACAAGATGATGTCCCCCTTAGGGCTGGTGGTGACAAAGAACATGTTGGGCACGAGGCAGCCAGCTACGACCAACCAAACTGCCAGGCAGAGAAGGCCAGCAAGGCGCGGGCAGCCCCAGCGCAGCGCCCGCAGCGGGTGGCAGATGCCCAGGTAGCGGTGTATGCTGATGCAGGTGAGGAAAAGGACACTGCAGTAGAGGTTCCAATAGAAGAGAAAGCGGATGAACTTGCAGAGCCCAGTGCCAAAGGGCCAATGGTTGCGGGCTACATAATAGTAGACGAGGGTGGGCAGCGACAGGACGTACAAAGTATCTGACAAAGCTAAGTGGAACATGTAGGTGGCTGTCGCGTCCCACGGTCGGAGGCAAAAAAGGAAGAGCCAGATGGTCAGGGCATTGAGGCCTAGGCCCAGCGCAAACACAACTGCATAGCTCACGGGCAGCAGGATAAACTTGAACTCCTCATTAAACCGGCAGTCCAGCTCCAACTCACTGTCGTCAGGATCTGAGTGGGGGCCTAAGGGTGTGAACAGTGAGGACTCGGTACTGGTCATGGTCCCCCTAGGGGTGGAAAGGGCAGAAGTGAGGGTGACCAGATTTCCCTGGCCCCCCAGCCCTGACCTGGGGCAAAAATGCAGAGAATGGGGAGGGCAATGGTTGAAGCACAAGGGGGAGTTGAGAGGATGCATCTGGGAGTAACCTGGGTCAGCCTGGCTCCTGCCAGAGCTCCCTCGGTCCAGCCTGGGGAATAGTAGGCAGCAGGCAGTGCCAGGGCTCAGGAGGGCAGTCAGTGGGTTTGGGTCGTTCTTCTGAAGCTGACTCTGTCCTTCAGAGCTTGGTTAGCTAAAGGGGGTCAAGGCCTACCAGGACTATCCAATGTAGGAAGATACCCAGACCCAAATTGTCTCCCAACTTATCACAACAGCTGTGTCCCTGTGAAGAGGGCATCTCTCCATACAGTAACTTCTCTCCCCTGGTCCCAGTGTGTCTGAACTACAGTGATCTCTGATACCTTCCCCCAGCCTGGGCCAGCCCAGAAACCCCATCACCACCCTTACCCAAGAAACTTGGCACGTCTCCTACCTGCTCCCCTTGAAGCTGAGCCCAGCTGACTCTGTCACCCTTCCCCTTGGCAGCCAGAGGGCATATCCAAGGGGGCGGGGTTGGGCGTGGAGCCTGTACCTCCTCCCTGTCCTGGGAAATCATTAGAGCTAGAAAGGCCCATCAAGATTATCTAGTCCCACCCACTCAGTGCACCATTGGGAAACTGGGGCCCAGTGAGATGACTATTTAACGGCTCCTAAACGACTGTAGGAGAGAGTACACAAGGAAACGTCCAAGTTGACAGATGAAGAGCCAGGCCACTGGAGATAACTAAAACTGCAGGAAGATCATAAAAATCTGTATGAGCAGAAACATGGAAAATGAATGTTAGCATGGATAACACATCAAAAGATTTTAGGAAATCTAAACTACTGATATAAATCTTCACTCCATGTGCATATAATTATAAGAAATCTGTATATAGCACTTACTACATGCAAGGCACTGTTCTAAGTGCTTTGTACTTATTAATGGCCCCACAGGCTCTCTGTGATGTGGGTATCATGATTGTCCCTACCTCACTGATTAGAAAACGAAGGCACAGAAAGTTGAAGTGTTTTGCTAATTAGTGGTAGAGTCAAGATTTCAAACCCAGGAAGGCCAGCCTTTGAACCAGGCTTTAGCAATCCATAATTGCTATGCTTAGTGGCCTCTCTAAGCCACTGGCCATAATCTAGGAAAGGATAAGCAAACATGTTCTGAGAGCCTATTACGTGCTTGGACCAGTTCTAGGCACTGGTAGTTCACTAACAGTAAACAAAACAGGCAAAACCTCCTACTCTAATGGAGCTTACATACCAGTGGGAGGGAAAAGATAATAAAATTAACAAGTAAAATATATAGATCATGATCATTGTTATGGAAAAAAGTAAAGGAGGGAAAGGGAATAGAGAGGGTTTCTGTTTTAAATATTAGGGTGACTTTTGAATAAGGACCAGATGGTTGTGAGGAAGAGGAAACATAGAGAAGAGGTCAGAGAGTTTGGCACAAACCAGATCATGAAGGTCCTTGGAAGCCATTGTGAGGACATCTTGGCTTTTACTTTCAGTGACTGGGAAGCCATTGAGAGTTTAGAAGAGACAAGTATCAGGATCTGATTCACATTTTAGAAAGATTCCTGGCTAGCTCTATGTTGAGAATAGACTACAGGGCTAGGGACACAGGAGGAAGATCAGATCAGAGGCCATTGCCAATAGAGATGATGGCGGCTTGGACCAGGCCAGTGAAGGTGGTGAGAAGTGGCAGATTCTGGCTAGCTTTTGAAAGTAGAGACAACAATATTTACTGATAAGGGGTATAAGAGAAAGAGAGGAGTCACGAATGACTCCAAGATTTCTGGCCTGAGCAACTGGAAGAATGGACTTACACCATTGACAAAGATGGGGAAGGCTGTGAGAGGAGTAGGTGTGGGGAAACATGAGGAGCTCATTTTTCCACCTGCCAATTTCAAGATGCCTATTACGCATGTAAGAGGAGGTGGTGGGGAGGTGATTCACTCCTCCTCAAGGATGCTAGCCCACATGCTTCCCTTACAGACTCCACCCCCTCCTACATACCACCCTTCATCTCTCTCTATCACCCCAGGAGACCCTGGTCTGAATACAGCCAAGACAGTACGGACACCAAGCCTAGATGTTTGAGAGCCTAGTGCTAGGGAACATGGAATTGTCAGGAGCTCTGGGCCTAAGGCTCCTGGGGCTAACTAAGTCTCCGTGATTATGGAAGTCTTAGGCACAGGAAGCAAGCTCTGGGCCTGGAGGACTCTGAGGGTAAGGTGGGTAGTGCTCTTGGGGAGGGGGAGCAGGCTGCAGTAGAATCCAGTCTGAAAGGAGCTGGGAAACAATGGGGACTCTGAAGTGATCTTCAGATCCTGAGAATGTTGCCCAGCTGGATCCCGGGAGTGAGGGGAGGAGGCAGGGCTGTAGGGGAGGCTCTAGAATCTGGAATCTAGATCTCTTGGAAGAAGCAGAAACCTAGATGGGGGAAACCTGGAGATCCTTGCCCAGTGAGGGTGTGGTGGATAGAAGGTAGGCGTGGAGAAAGCACTCATAGCCTGAATCCTGGACAGCTGATCACTGTGATTTTGCACAAAAGGCTCAGGTGTTTGGAGCCAGACAGACCTGAATTCAAACCCTTGTTCTTCCATGTATTAGTTGTGTCACCCTGGATACCTCTTCATGACTGAATTTCCTCATGAGTGAAATGGGGTCAATAATACCAACCTTTTAGGGTTTTCTGAATACTGAATTGGTTAATAGATGTGAAAACACTTTGTAAACCGTAAAATGCTGCTAATCTGTAAAGTACTTTGTATTATTTACTTTGCTCCCAGGGGTGAAGCTGGCCTCTTCAGAGGAGGACAAGTGTGATCTGAAGCTTGGCATACACCCAAGGGGACATTCCAGTGTCCACTAAACTAGAGAAGCCCCAGGAGGAGCCAGCTTCCTGCTCCTATTGCTTCAAGCTGGTTTAGCTCTGCCAGGTTTCTGCCAGTCCCTGGACGCAGCTGCAGCTGCCAACGCTGCCACCACTGCCGCCCAGTGGCTACTTCAGGAAAAGCCCTCTCCCAACATTCCCCAACCAGAAGCTAGCTTCCGCTGACGTCACCTGGGCCAAAAGGAATGCATGCCTTCTGAAAGGCTGCAGACCAGACCCCTCTCTCCTGTGAAACTCTTCCTCACTTTCATTTCTGTGACTTTACTCTGATTCTCCTATTCCTCTGCATGTTCCTTCTGACCCCTTCCCTGGCTCCTTTTTGTCCTCCTTCCTCCAAATGTGACCCTTCCGCAACACTTACTTCCAGATCTCTTCTCTCCTCTCCTCCTTCTCCATTCCTCCACTGTTTCTTTCTCTCTCCTTCTCTCCCCCTCTCTCTCCATCCACTCTCATGATTTAACTTACAAGTTATGAATAATTATAATGACCAATGAGATTCCAGCATACAAATCTCCCTCCGATCAAAATTTCTCTTCAATTGCCTAGGTTTTCTTTATGAAGTGAAAAGACGAGGTCGCCTGCTGAAAGTAAGGTGCAGTGTGGAGTGGAATAAGACAATCCTCACAGGCTTGATGGAAAGGAGCAGTAACCTGAAATCCTTGACAATCCAAATTTACTAATAAAATCATGGGAAAGTGACTGGTTTCCATATAATTGTACCCAAGTTAGTGTTGTCCAGGTGTCTTTTCTATAGCGTTCCCTTTTAGTCTTTCTAAATGTCTGTTCTTTATCTCCAACAAGGCTGTTAACAACTTTAGACTAGAGACCAGTACCACTGTGTCCGGTACCTAGGACAGCAGGGGAAGTCTCTGTTTCTACCATTTGATTTGTCTGCCTCCTCTCCATCCTCCCGCACTGAGCCAGTACCGTTGTGCAGATCCCACTTAACTCTGCTGGTATGCTGTCAGCTGCAATAACAGAAAATGCCAACTCAGTTGACTTTAAAATAAGGAAATGTATTGTCTAGCATCTAAGTCCAGGAGCAGGGAGTTTTCGAGTTGATTAATTCAACAGTTCAACGATGTCATTCAAAAAATCCTGATTCTTTCCATCTTTCTGATCAGCACCCCTCAGCCTGCTGCTCAGCAACTCTCATGGTCACAAGGTGGCTGTTGCATTTTAGGCATTGCATCCAAACATGGAAATACCACTGACAAAAGGAGAGGAAGGCCTCTCTTCCTGTGTGTTTATTTTTATCACTCAGGAAACCTTTCCCAGAATCTCCCTAGCATGCTTCCCCCCATGTCTCAGTGGCCTGAGTTTCATCATGCCTATAACTAAACCAACCACTGGCAAAAAGGATGAAATGACCATGACTGGCTGAGAGGAGCAGAGAGCCAGGTGGAGGAGGGTGGGGTACATAAAAAAGTGGGGATTCTGCCCACAAGAAGGAAGGGAGAGATGCCTATTGAGTTGATAAACAATCCTGTCTGCTAGGATCCCTTATGGAATAACCAGCCCTTCCTCACTCAGCTATCCGGTCATCACTTCCAAACTGGAAGGACTGTCTGGGAATATCACTGGGGTGTGCAGAGTGAGGGTGGGTAAGGACCTGAAGATACCTCTCCCATCAATCTATCACAGGGGCCAGACACTTCAGCTTTAGAGAGGCACTCCTTTGCCTTCTTACTCTTGCCTCCTCATAAAATGCAAATACTCTTGATCAAAATAAAACTATGGTGTCTCTCTTTGGGAGACTACTAACTGGAAAGGGACACAAGGGAATTTTCTGGGGAGCTAGAAATGTTCTATATCTTGATCTGGGTGGTGGTTACATGTATATACACATAGGTGTAGTAGTTTCTTATTGCTGCTGTAAAAAATTACCACAGACTCGGTGCCTCAAAACACCATTTATTCTCTTACAGCTCTGGAGGTCAGAAGTCCAAGATCAGGTTCACTGGGCCAAAATCAAGGTATGAGCAGGGCTATGCCTGAACTGTGACAGCCACTC